GGCTCCTGCAGGGGGTGGTGACCCCAGGGGCTGCATGCCTCGACCAGGACAGGGCGACTCTCAAGACGCTTGGGGAGGAGAGGAGCGTGCGTTTGTTAAGGGTCATTTCTCCGCAAGTCATGCCCAGAAGATAATTGGATATTCCTCCTGAAGCCTTGGCCCTCAGAACACACAGGTTGTATCTGTACTTGATGGACTTGTTTAAAAGGACGAAGACACACCTCCCTCACAAGGGAACTCGGGCAGCTAGCGGTCGTGCAAGGGAAGAGCTAGGCTTCCATTAGCAACGCCTCTGGGTCACAACTTCTCCTTTTCCTCCCTTTCTGAAGCTGCAGTTTTTCACTTAACCCTTCCTGGCCTCTGCTGCCTTACCTGTGAAATGGGCCTCCTACTAGCCCCTTGCAGGGATGCTGTGAGGATGGAATCAAGGAGCAGGTAGATGTGTTTTCTGAACTGCAAAGCATCCGTGCATGCACACAGACACACGCACACACACACACCTGTACACACGTGTGCACACACGTGCACAGACATGTGTGCGCACACATGTTGCTCACGTGCACACACACACACGTGTGCCTGTGTACACACACACACACACACACACACACAGTGTCATTGTTCAGAAGCCCCGTGAACCACTTGCCCTTCCGTTTTGAAATCGCTCTCCGGGACGTGCTCTCCCTTTGAAGCCTGGTAAGTGTTAGAGTCAGGGGGTGCGTACCTTCAGGTTGGTTAATATTGACTCAGAGTTGCCCGTCCGTGGGTGAGCAGAGGAGTCTTCTGGGATCCTGGCTGGATTCCTCCCGGGACAGTGTGCCTGGCATTGCCTGACAAGGGTTTATTCTTAGCTTCATAGGAAACCAACCTCCTTTCTGATGGGAGTTTTCAGTGGAAGCCCTTGCTGAGCGTGGGGAGCGTTTCAAAGGAGTCACCGGGTCAGGCTCTCGTTCGGGGTCCTGATAGGCCAGTAGCTCTGGGCATCTGAGGCAGCTGGCTGGTCCTCCCAGGCTGCCCTGGAGTCGGGCCAGGGCACACTTAGGCCCAGTGTGAATTCGTTTCAGGGTGAGACCCCCAGGCAGCCTTTGGGTCCCCTGAGCCCCTGGTGGGGTCTCCCCAGCTTGCTGTCTCAGGAATTCACTCTTTCTTCTCTCTCACCTGCACACGCACACCCCGATGTAACCTGCCCAAGTTCCGCCCACCTCCTGGCTCTGTGTCCCCTCCGTGCCAGGACTCTTTCAAACACCCTCGGCTTTTTTTCTCTCATTGCAGATGTTGCTTGCTGAGGCACGATAGCACGGTCATTTTACTTAATTAAAGTAATTTACTTCGGGTTGTAATTAACAAGACCCAGCTAGGTGTAGTTCAAGGGGAGAAAGGGATGCTGGAGCGGGTTCTGGAAACCCAGCCAGGGGTAGGGAGGCTGGGGCAGGACTGGAAAGCTCAGGGGTCTGTGTTTGAATAGAACTTGACCTACAGACCCAGCCGAGCGGGAGTTGAGACTGGACTAAAATAACAAGACCCGGGCGCGGTCTTCACCGGCCTTCAGTCCACTTGAAGTAATGCCCGAGACTCTTCTTTTAAACCCTGGGTTCCGCTGCACCCCAGATATGAAAGGTGTGTTTGCCACGCGTAGTACATCTTTTTAAATTTTCTCAAATGCTTTTAGTTACTCAAAGCACTGCGAACGCACGCTCGTGGAAAAGGTGCAAACAGTGCAGACAGAGCCTCAGGTTTCCCTGCAGTTCCCAGCCCTATATTGTGGCGCGGGTCCTGCCCACCATCTGAACCCGGGCACGAGCTCACACACTCACGGCTGTTTCAGGACACACAGGGGCTCCTGGCGAGTGTGTCCTTCCACTGCCTTTTTCTCTCCTAACCTCTATCTTCAGGTGTTCTTCACGCCACCCCATGGGGGCTGTCCTCACTCCTGACAGCCCCATGTCCCTCTGCCCCTTCTTGGGGACCCACCCCGACGTGGACCCCGGGCCCCCTCTTTGCCCACAGCGGTCCACGAAGGCAGCCTCCTCCAGGCCCGTGCAGCAAGCACCCCTAAGTCTGCAGTGACCCTCAGAGCCACCCAGGGGTACAGCTGAGGCCCCGGGACCCCCGCAGCCCGACGACAGTCTTTCCCTGCAGAGCTCAGATCCGCTCCACCCCCGGCCGCGGGTGTGCGAGCAGCTCCCGCCCTGTCCGAGGCCTCCCTGACCGCGGCTCAGAGAACAAGAGTCCCCCCGCCTCGGCTCCTGTGTACTGCGTGCACAAGTGGTTTCCTCATTAAAGTCATCATCGTGCAGTGGAGGCCCCAGGGGGGCCCTCGCCCAGGTCACAGGGACCAGGGTCGCCCCAGCTGTGGTTTGCCTGACCCGGATGTGCTCTTGGCTGGACCTCGCGGTCAGAGAGTGATCTTCCTGCCGGCGTTCTCAGCAGGCGTGCTCCCCTGTCTCTGTCTATCTCTGCGTCTCCCTCGGTCTCTGTGTCTCTCTTGTTCTCTCTCTGTCTCTCTCTCTGTGTCTCTCTCTTGGTCTCTCTGTCTCTGTCTATCTCTGTGTCTCCCTCGGTCTCTGTGGTCTCTTGGTCTCTGACTCTGTCTCTATCTCTCTTACTTTTCTAATACATGACACGTTTATTGAGATAAAACTCACACACCATACAGTTTGCGCATCTAAAATATACCGTTCAGTGTTTTTCAGTCTGTGTACACGGTTGGGTAACCATTCCCCACGGTCAGTAATAGAACGTTTTCATCACCGCAGACCACTCCCCAGCTCCCACCCTCCCTGGGCACTGCCCACCCGCCTTCTGTCTCTGGATTTTCAGCTTTCGTCTCAGGCCTCCTCTTTCTCCAGGTCCTCCGGCGCGTGCCGTGTGCCCTGGCCTCGGCCCTACTCTTCCTGGGACAGCAGGTCCCCTTGGGCTGGGGTGGGGCTGTTGGCCTGGCCCCGTAAGCAGGCCCCTGGGGGGACCCTGGTCAGTGGCTTCATTTATTCATCACTGTGCAGTTGCCGCGTGTCCGCCCTGGGTGACCACGCCCATTGCCTCTGCTCTGGACTCTATAGCTGGAGGTGGACCAGGGAGATGGGCCCAGGGCTGGGGTTTTACCACGACCTGCACTGGAGCCCCTGTGCAGAGACCTGTAGAAGTCGGAGCGGCCCAGCTGCGTGAGGCGCCGGCACCTGCGGGCACTTGATCATCCAGACGCTCTTCCCAAAGTGTAATTTGCCCGTCGTAACAGCCCAGCTGCATCTATTAGGCAAGGTGTTCATATCGCCACTGCTTCTATAGCCATGTGCTTCCACTTGTCTTTTTTTTTGGCTACACCATGAAGCTTCTGGGATCTCAGTTCCCCGACCAGGAATTGAACCCAGGCCACGGCAGTGAAAGCCCGGAATCCTAACCACTAGGCCGCCAGGGAACTCCCTTCCACGTGTATCTTTTTATCTGTGGGTATTTGTCCCCACCCTCCCCATCAGGAGTTTCAAAAGGGTTGGCCTCTCCGGGTGAATAGTAGATGCTCAATAAGTGGACAGGAATAGATTGATTTTCATTGTACAAATCCACAAGAAACGACTATTGGCTGCCTTTTAAAAACGTTAGAAAATGTAAGTACAGAAAATAATAATAGCAAAAGATTTACTCCGTCATCCCTTCTCCTTCCTGAGAAAGTAAAACTCCTTAACTGGTGACATCTTTCCAGACATATTCTTTGCTTTCTATAATACTGGCTTTAAAATGTAAGTGAAATTCAGCTATATCATTGTTCTAAGACTCACGTTTTCTACTTAGACATTCTTCGGTATTTTTCTTGTCAGTTTATATCGGTCTGCCTTCTTGTTTTTGCTACCACTGCCTCGGCAAAGAATGTTCTATGGAGAACAGTATGGAGGTTCCTTAAAAATCTAAAAATAGAACTGCCATATGATCCAGCAATCCCACTCCTGGGCATATATCCAGACAAAACTGCATTTTATTCAGAAAGATACATGCACCCCAATGTTCATAGCAGCACTATTGACCATAGTCAAGACATGGAAGCAACCCAAGTGTCCACTGACAGAGGAATGGCTAAAGAAGATGTGGTACATATATACAATGGACTCTTACTCAGACATAAAAGAATGAAATAATGCCATTTGCAGCAACACGGATGGACCTAGAGATGATTATACTAAGTGAAGTAAGTCAGACAGAGAAAGACATATCATATCGCTTATATGTGGAATCTAAAATATGACACAAATGAACTTATTTACAAAACAGGGAGAGACTCACAGACATAGAGAACAAACTTATGGTTACCCAAGTGGAAAGAAGAGGAGGGGAAGAAGGACAAGTTAGGAGTTTGGGATTAACATATATAGACTACTATATATAAAATATAGATAGCAAGGACTTACTGTAGAGCACAGGGAACTATATTCAATATCTCGTAATAACATAATGGAAAAGCATCTGAAAAAGAATATACATACATATGTATAACTGAATCACTTTGCTGTACTTCTCTGAAACATTGTAAATCAACTATACTTCAATATAAAGTTGTTTGTTTGGGAAAAAAAAGGAAAGAATGTTCCAGAATGATTCCCACTTTCCTTTATTTTAGAACATTTTTGCCATCTCCAGGTTTTCTCTTCCTTTTTTTCCTTTTGTATTTTCCGTGCAGCCTTTCTATTATTATGTATTTTATACGCACGTGCAAAGCTCTCTGTAGATGGTCTTAAAAAAGTGGAATCACCGCCCGTGGGATGGATGTATTTGAAATTTTTGTAGATTCTGCTGAGCTGCTCTCCAAAGTCTTTGCAGCAGTGAAGCTTCAGCTGACAGCATCCAGGGCCTGTCCACCCTCCTCCCGGCCCCTCCGACGAACAAAGATGCCCTCCTGTTGACTTTGCGTTTTCGTTTCTCTGAATTCTTGTGAGATCGCCCTGTGAACAGGCTTCTCTAGAGGATGCCTGTGCCACCGCTTTACACACGGATTTCTTCTTCCTTCTCTGCAGGACAGCTGTGCCCGCGTGCTGCTGTTTCGGGGTGGAAATAAGGACTTGAAGAACTACAACAGCCAGACCCCGTTCCAGGTAAGCGGACTCATCAACCCCCCGAGACGCCGTGTCGTCGCGTTCCCACACATCCTCTGTGTGTGCTGACACGAGCTCAGCCCTTCCGTCGGGGACGGGGTCTGTGTGTGGAGCTGCGGCCCTATTTCAGTTTGCCGGTCCACACTGGCTTCCTTCCAGTTAGACCGAACAGCATCGCTAATGCAGCGATGCCTCCAGGGGGGCGATTCACGCAGGCAGCTTGGGAAAGGCAGCAGAGACGTGGATGTCGTTCACTGCAGCAGCTGTGGGGCAGTCCTGGCTTCGTGCTGATCCTGGGAATGGGGAGATCTTGGTAAGAATCTACCGGGAGGGAGCTGGCTTGCCATCATCCGGTGCCCTCACCCGGCCTGCTATCCTCGGTGAAGGGTGAACGACCGGTCCAGAGTGGCTGTGGGGTTACATGGTGGAGTGAGAAGCCAGGGTCCTGATTTTTTTAATTGTGGTAAAATACATATTACACAAAACGTACCGTCGTCGTCACATCAGTGTGTACAATTCAGTGACCTTCAGCACGTGCACGATGTGGTAGCATCACTTCTGTGTAGTTAAGAACTTTTTCATCACCCCAAGGAGAACTGTACCCACCGACAGTTCCTCCCTGTTCCTCCCTCCCGCGGCCCCTAGGCAACCACTCATCCGCTCTCTTCCCTGTGGACAGGCCTCTTCTGGACATCTCATGGGGATGGAATCATACAATAGGTGGTCTTCTGTGTCTGGCTTCGTTCACTCAGCATTATGTTTTCAAGGTCTATCTGTGTTGTAGTGTGTATCGCCGCTTCCTCCTTTTTTACGGCTAAGATCCCATTTTATAAACATGGGGCTCGTGGAACTTTGAGGCAGCTGGCCAGATGGTTTAGGGTGGAAAAACTTGTTTTTTTGGGCTATAACTCTTTCAGAGTTATTGAAATGCTTTCTCATCCTAAACACAGCCCTCTCCGCTCGAACTGAACGTTGAGGTGACCGCGATTCTTTTTATTTGGAAATAAGTTTTGCATCTTATTGAGCTGAGAGAGGTCTTTCATTTAGACCTGGCTTCCACGGGAGACCTGACCAATCCTCTCCTTAGATATCACTAATACAGACGAGCTTGAGGCCTTGAAAATGAACCAGTTCCATCCCCAGACTGGGCTGGATGTCTAACAGTCATCATTAACCACTTTGCTCAGTTCGCGAGAACTGACGGGCCCGGACTTTACCCTGAATCCGTGGCTTGAAGATACGTAATGGGAAATGGGTCATGGGAGTGAGTTCCTGCTGTGCTAATGGGTCTATAAAAACTACGGTTTCGCCCCCAAAGCCTGTTCTCTTTCCAGTGGTGATGATGAGGGAGCCGTGGGCTCTTCCCACTTCGTGCTGGGACACATCTGCCCTTTTGGGCTCAGCAGTGGGTTGGTGGCCTTGGTTTAAATATTTTGTTGCCATTAAATAATATCTTTCTTTGGTCCTTTTTTTTTTTTTTGAAGTCAGAACGGTGCTTAAATTGCTTAGAAGAGAGCAGCTAATGCCCTTTGATTCATGGTGAAGGCGTAGGTGATAGAAGAGAGCCGTTTCTCCCCTTCTGGGCAAAGGTTTGTAACCGCCACCTGGCGCTCCAGGGGAGTGACTTGTGCACGGCGTCCAGGACAGAATATCACTGTCAGTGACCTCCCTGTGAGTCCCCACTCCTGTCCCGTCACCACGGGCAGCAGCCACCTAGTGCAGGGACACCCCTTCTTCCAGGAGGCCTGGCAGGAAGCGTCGTGCACCCTCCTGGCAGCGAATTCGCGCCAGCTCAGACCCGAGGCCATCTGTCTCTATTTTGCTAACGATAATCCAGTGCCCCAAATGATTCAGGAAGACAGTTATGCAAACACGCTTGAATAATAGGACTTTGTGCCCTGCAGACACTGTCCATGTAACGGGCGGAACCAAAGCCTGGGCTGCTTGCTCTGCATGCCCAGCACGGGCTCCGACTGCGTGTGCCGGGAGCTGGTCTCCCCCTCATGTCTCCCCACCTTCTCGTGCTTTCATGGCACAAAGAGACTTAATTCAGGCTTCGGAGCCTTGCGTGTAAAATGTCCCCGGCATTCACAGTCCTTCCCTCCCGGTGATGAATCAACACCGTTGATTTCGGGGGGAATGATGGCCTGCCCCACCATTTAACAGGGATCCAGTGTGTCCACCTGGGAAGCTTTGATGATATTCAGCTGCTGTTGTGGACGTGGGCTTTTCTAAGAAACCGTGGAATATTTGACAGACTTCATGTGGCCAAGCTTTGCTTAATGATTTAATACGAAGGCTGGAGCAGCAGCAGCAGGACTCAGGGACTTGAGAGAAATGCAGACCCCCAGGCACCCAGAATCTGAAGCTTGGGCGCAGGGCTTCGGGTCCTGTGTTCTCACAAGCCCCCTAGAGACGCTGACATCCACTCAGGTTTGAGAATCAAGAGAGACAGGTGAATTTCTGAAGGAAGTGGTGACGGTGGTGATGGCGGTGATGGTGGTGACGGCGGTGACGGCGGTGATGATTGTGATGTGGTGACAGTGGTGACGGTGACGACGGTGATGGTGGTGACGGTGGTGATGATTGTGATGGTGGTGATGGTGGTGATGGCAGTGACGTGGTGACAGTGGTGACAGTGGTGACGGTGGTGATGATGGTGACTGATGTCACCATCAGCCCGGGCCACCATCACAGAGTACCACAGGCTCAGGGGCTTAAACAACAGACATTTATTCCTCACAGTCTGGAGGCTGCAAGTCCAAGGTCAACGTGCTGGCAGATCTGGTTTCTGGTGAGGGCTCTCGTCCTGCACCTACTCATTGGTATTTCTTCTGTGCAACATGTAGAAAGAGAGAGAGAGAGAGAAAGAGTGAGAGCTTTCTGGTGTTTCTTCCTCTTCTTGTAGGAACAAGAATCTCATCTGATTAGGGCCCCACCCTTATGACTTCATTTGAACTTAATTACGTTTCTAGAGGCCCTATCTACAAATATCATCACAACGGGGCTTAGAGCTTCAGCATATGAATTCTGGGGGAGACAGTTCGGTCCATAACATTGATGACGATGTTGGTGGTATTGATGGTGGTTAGGGTATTGATGGTCATAGTGATGATGATGAATCTTCCCAGTTGCACAGAATCTTTTTCTAGAAAATATTTATTTGTTTGTTTACTGCACTGGGTCTTAGTTGCGACACGTGGGATCTTTTAGTTGCGGCATGTGGGATCTTTAAGTGCGGCACGCGTGTGAGATCTAGTTCCCTGACCAGGGATCGAACCCAGGCCTCCTGCATTGGGATCGTGGAGTCTTAGCCACTGGCCCACCTGGGAAGTCCCCAGCTGCACAGAATCTTAGAGCTCACAGATGCTCTTTTGTGTGTTCTCGTTTAATGTTCAACAGCCCAACACGGTAGGCATTTTTTTGCCCAATGTATAGGACACGTGGAATTAGAGACGTTAAGCCTCGGAGTCCTGAATCAGTTAGTGGCCGAGTCTGTGAGTCCCAGGCCTTCTGACCACGGGTCCAGGGCTCTGTGGTCTGGGGTGAGGCAGGCACATCCTTCTGGCCTGTGATTCATCTTGCATCCTGAGATGGAGCGCACAGCATCAGGGATTCCTTGCTTTTTGGATCGCTCAGTCCAAGGGAGCAAACCTTTCCTGGTTCTGAAGATAAAGAGAAATGGGAAGGAAGGAATTCTGTGGAGGTGGAAGGTCTAAGCGAAGGGGGAGTACAGCTGGGGTGGGGGACAGAGGAACGGCCGTCTGCAGGTGGGCTGTGATGTGCGCTGGGTTAGGCGCCGGTGCATGAAGGTGCCGTGTAGGTGTGGTTCACATCTGCAGTTGACTCAGTAAAGGAGATGAGCCTTCCAGGACGTGGTGGGGCCTCATCCCATCAGTCGGAGTCCTTGGGAGCAAAAACTGGGGTTCCCGAGAAGAAGGAATTCTGCCTCCACACTGTAACACGGAGACCCCGCCTAGGGTTCCCGCCACTGGCCTGCCCCACTATCACATGGGCCAATTCCTTAAAATAAATCTGTGCATGCATGCGTGTGTGTGTGTGTACACATCCGATGGGTCTGTCTCCCTGGAGAGCTCTGGCTGATACCCGGGAGGATTGATTTGAACCCTTCTTGCCCCCAGCAGCTCCATTCCAATGGACCTTCGTGGTTTTGGAGGTAAGGATTCCAGCCCCTGTGTGTTTGGGGAAGCAGCTCTGCCCCAACACGTGTCACTGTTGTGTCCTCTGCAGCTGCTCATCAGATGTCCAGAAGCAGAGAGGGAGGAGAGGATGAGGAAGACAGGGAAAGGCAATGAGAGACATTCTGGAAGGTCTGACGTCCAATTGTCATACAGGGAGGGGCGTGTGAGGACAAGATGCCGGGGGACAGAGAAGTCCTGGCCGTGGGATCTTTCTGGTGAACATCGTGCCCGGGTACACTGGCTGCCGCCCAGGGAACAGGGGCTGTATGCCCCGCCGGGCACTCAGTCTTTAACACGCGTCATTCCTGATGCTGGCTCCCATCGTCCCCACTGGATGGAGAGGTGGGTGGACGCCGGGGTCTGCAGCTCGAAGGGTACGGTGAGGGTTGCCCACAGCCCGGGGCCCTGAGTCCTTCCTCCACCGTCACTCTGGATGTAGGAGGAGGAGAGAGGCCAGAGCCAGGATGGAGGCGTTTTAAATTCCTCGGGTCTTAGGCAGTAAATCATGGGGCCGAGCCGGGCGTTGGCAGCCGCCCATAAATCCACTTCCTGGAGCCCCTCCCTCTGTGACTGACGCTCTGATGCCCAGGAACTGGCCAAGCCGTCGCATGTTCCCTGGGGGCCACTCCACTCTCAGGAATGACCTTGGGTCTCTCCTGGAGTGTCAGATCCCGGCTCTTGTCCTTCAGGTCTATGAGCATCTCCCGGAGCTCTGATGGCACTCGCTCATCCAGGGCACAGCTGGGGAGGGATGGAGGTTCTCTCAGGTCACACCTGACGCCGTGCAATGCAGTGATGCCTTGCGAGTGACCAAGTCTCCCCGTCCTTCTCCGTGTGCTCCCAGCCGCTGCTGCTGGGTTGGAAGGCGGCCCAGAGACAAAGGCAGCCTGACACCCTGGGGGCTGTTCGTGTTCCGGATGTTGTACTTTTCCTGGGAAATCGATGGAATCCGCTCAGCAGGCATTTCGAGGCCCTGCGTCCTCCACTTGTCCTT